GGGGGGTATTTTTATGTTCTTGGGAACATGCAAAAAGTTTATCATGGATGTAGGAGAAAGGGAGAAGCAGCAAACATCCACAACTTCCTTTTTTCCTTCCCTTGGGAAGAAATCAGTTGAGCTAAACTGTTCCTGTACCATGTATACTTTTCCTTTCACTATGACCGAAAAGGACTATGTGAAAAAAAGCATGTTTGCGAGTGTGTGTTGACTGAAATAAAGAATTACTGATATAAAAAACCACTGTACGTTATAAGTTGTTCGAGTGAAGCTGATTACTTATCTAATAAGCTAATACTAATCATTAATCCGATAGATGCCTATCTAGTGTTCTACAGCATTCACGTGTGTTGCGCATATAGGCCTAACTATACTGAACTACGTATGCACTATCGTAACTCAAACAACGATCAGAAACCTTCTTTCAAAGTCAAAGACGCTATTCGAAAGACCAATCAAAAAAACATTTTAGTCATATATCGCCCGAAAAAATTGTCATTAGCCCACCAGGAAAGAGCCCATGGTCAAGGCAGATGCTCTTTGTGTTAGCTTTGGGGAAAGCAGAAGGAATTCTTTTGTAAAACAACAAAAGTGAAAGAAGCTAGCACAGGCCATCAACAATTACTCTCCAAAGATGTTTGTCCTGTGCATCTTTCTTCAATTGTGTTCAAGTTTGCCCTGTTACTTGGCATAAGCCTTTATCTTTCTCCACAATGTTGCACTTGGCCTTCCTCTGATGGTGGAAATTTAATGTTTAGCTCTTTGCTGGTTGGACTTGTCATTAACTTTCTATTTCTAAATCTCTATTACATTTCCATCTTCTCAGTATCACTTCCTTTTCCACTTGTCTTATGTTTTCACTCTAATGATGATCCCTCAGACTAATAGACTCAAATATAGATCCTGTACATTCAGATACACTCCTAAAACAAAGGAAAGAAAAATACTAGAAAAACTTCTTGCTGAGAGCTACTAATTTTTGCAAGTAGTCTGAGAGCACCCCTTAATAATAGGTCTTTCTTCTGTTCTTTCCCTCTATTTTTTTTGTCCGTCTAACCTGCTTTTCTCATGCTCAAAATGACTGTTATAGTGACAATCTAGCATCTGCGTTTGTCGCGGCCTCGATTTTTGGGATTGTTTTGTCCGCGAATCGCGGCCGCGATTTTTGCATTTTTCAACAAAAAAAGCTACATGTACTTCATCACATATTAGAGATGTATTTTAATAATTTTAAGGTGTCCATGTATCGTTATTTTCATGCGAAGAATATAGGTACATTACAAACTATATTTATTTTGCTGTTTGTCTTTTATTTTTTCCCTCTTTGTTGTGTTTTAATTTGTTGGTGTGTTAATTTTGTTGTTGTTATTGTTCTGATGGGTTGTGTTTTTCTATTTTCTGTGTTTATGTAGCGTAATGTCATTTAATTTGATGTTGTTCCTATATTTTTTAAAATGTAACTGTTATGTTAGAGCGTGCCTCCACCAGAACCGAATACTGACACTGGCAGGCCCCTTGTGTGTGATTCCATAATTTACACGTGGTATCCTGTACTTTTTCTTGAATTACTGTAGGGTTAAAACGGCCAATCTTCAGATAAGTGGACACACACCCTTATTTGTTATTTTTTGTGGTTTCTTTATGTGCTGTTCTAATTTTGATTTCATTCTTTTGTGAAACCTTTATTTTTCATGTTTTTACACTCTATGTGGCTACAAATGGTATTCTGGATGCTTTAAACAGAACATATTGAAATTCTGGTGCTTTAGATTAAGTTACCTCTATCAAAAATATATTGCTATATATATACATACATATATATATGTATATATGTATATTATATATAATATATAATTATATATATAGACATGTAATTATATATATATAGGTCGTCAGAGAGTTGAAAGCTTGCACATTAGTGAATGGCAACTTTTATGGCAACTTTTGGACAAAAAAATGGCAACAAACGCAGATGTGAGGTCAATGGACTTTACTCGAACAAACCAACTCTAGAAATTATAAGTGTTAATGTAATTTAGGATATTGTTTCGAGATGGGCACAGGTGTATATAGTATATGTATGTTTCAGTGAAAGAAGTAGGCCTACTTTCAGTAGTAATGTTGGTGTTCACTATTGTGTTTGTAATTATGATGTCCTGCTGATCCAAATAAGCAGAATGTCAAAGTAAGTGACTTTTGTACAAGTGGCGTGGACCAGACTCGGTTTCATGGTATATATTTATGTATATAGCAGAATTTGTTTAAACTGAGCAGTTAATCCGAAAACAGCAATAAACTGGAGGTAAATATAATGGAATCCCCAATTTTTTTTTTCCTTATTTGAGCAATCTGTATACACCAAAAACATGGCTAATCTGAAGAAAATCCAGTGGTCTCACAGATTCTGGTTTATATGCACTCCAATAAATGGAAGTGCAATTACTCGTACACATATA